TATCTCAGGGCGTGGGTGGGGTGGGGGGGAAATATATCCTTTTTTGAACAAGTTAATGAATAGACAGCAAAACTATTAACAAATGTCATCCCTTGGCTCAGTGCCTGTAGCTCAAGTGGCTAAGGCACCAGCCACATACACCGAAGCTGGAGGGTTTGAATCCAGCCCAGGCCTACCAAACAACAACTTCAATCAAAAATTAGCCAGGCATTGTGGCAGGCACCTGTTGTCCCAGCTACTTGGGAGGCTAAGGCAAGACAATCGCTTAAGCCTAGGAGTTGGAGGTTGCTGTGAGCTATGATGCCACTGCACTCTACCCAAGATGACTTGAGACTCTGTTTCAAAAACAAAAACAAAAACAAAAATAAACAAATGTCATCTCTTTTAAAGAATAATCAAGGTTTTCATCACTATTAGGTCTAGAAGGAAAAAAAAGAATAATCAAGATTCTAGAGCTGGGCAAACAAGGATAGTTGGTCAAGCGTTTATTAAAGTGACCATGACCAACACCAAAAAAGCTCTGGTTCTAGCTAAAAGAAAAATTTAAAATATATCCTGTCTTTCCCCAATGTCCTAACCTAAACTTTGAGAAGATATCCTTTATACGTTCCTTTTATTATAATACTAAAAGTTATGAGGCAGCTTCTGCATTACTAGGGAAAAATTTTAGGGGAAATCATCAAAATAAACATAGTTAAATAAAGAGTAAAGCTCACTCCCTTAACAGACTAGGGGCCTTGACAATGCACTGTAACATTATATTTACTGAGACCTGGGTGACAACAAATTACAGATGAAGCAGATGTGCAAAACCTGTGTTTTTAGACAGGTTCCTTACCCTATCACCAAATGCAGGCCAAGCCTTCCAGGAGGCCAGCGTGCTGTGGCTGCAGCCCAAAGGCGCCCTATTGGCCCACAGCAGCGGGGGGGACCAACATCAGAGCCAGGATGCGCCCTTCAGCTGCACACCACAGCTGCCTCTGGGCCTAGCCCACTGGCATGCCCACATCTACCGTGACTGGCATGACTTCCTGTACCTGTGTGTATACCATGACTACACATGTGACACCTGGGTGCTGTACCATTGGAGCCTCCGGCTCACGCTTTCCTAGTCTGGCACAACTCACCACTTTCACACAGCCTTCTTCCTGTGTTGCATGCATAAGCCTCCCCCTATCTACCTGACTTGGACAAGGTGGTGGGCTGCTAGTGTTTATCTCAATTAGAGGCAACTGAATAGTTAATATCAGAAGAAATTTGGTTGGCACCCCACGGTTCTGTGAATTAAGAAGACTTGAAAACTCTGCCTCTCTGACCAGCACATATTTTGTCTGGATCATGCATTGAAGAGCTGCAACGATGGCTGCCAACCACATTATTGACCACTGATGATCCCAGCTTTTACCAGGTGATGAGCTGTACTTAGACAATTCAGACTTTTAAAGAAATATTCTATCTACTGAAAAAAAGACTGAAGAAATCATGAAAACAAGAAATTTCACCAAATAGTGATATACAATCACCATCTTCATAATATCCATATTTATTCTAAGAACTATGTGGTAAGAGCCATTTGTAGGGTGCTACTTGTGTAAGCTGGCCTACTTGATGTAATCCTAATGAATAGAGTTGAATTTTCTTGAAATTTAAGGAACTCTGTGCCTATAAAAACTATAATGGGATGCTTTTTCATTTCAGGTGCTCTCTTCTTTTTTTTTTTGAGATAGAGTCTCACTATGTTGCCCTCAGTAGAGTGCCAGAGTGTCACAGCTCACAGCAACCTCAATCTCTTGGGCTTAAGTGATTCTATTGCCTCAGCCTCCCAAGTAGCTGGGACTACAGGCACCTGCCACAATGCCTGGGTATTTTTTGTTGTAGGTGTCACTGTCGTTTAGCAGGCCCAGGCTGGGTTTGAACTTGCCAGCCCCGGTATATGTGGCTGGCACCCTAACCACTAAACTACAGGCACTGAACCACTTACTTTATTAAACTTTACAGTATGCCACAAGTATAAAGCTTATAAATAATAAATAATCTTGTTGCCAAAACAAGAAAAACATTTCACAAGGGTCCCCACTTCTATACTGTTTTATTATCTCAAAAGTTTAAGTAAAATGTTCTACTGCCATTGTTGTTCTGTCAGGTGTATTATTAGCACATTCCTTAAGGTGCTCTATCTTAAGACTTTTGGCTGCAATTGGTTTAAGGGTGCGAACAGTAGAGTGAGGCATCTGTTAAGTGATAATGTCTTGTTTTCTTTCTATGTCTCTAGCTTGATTAAGACACAATTCTTTTTAGAACCTAATGGCATTAATTATGTTTCCCAAATGAAAACTATTTTAGTTAGTATTTTAAAGAAATAACGAAGCAATAACAAGAATCATTATTTTTACTCCAGGGTGTTAATGAAAAGAGGATACAGAGATGCAATGTTGAATTAGTGATGTATATTTTCAATGTGTAATTTTTTTACATCCCTGAAGATAATAAACATTTATTGACTAAAGGCAGAAAATAGGATACTAATTCTATTTTAAGATCATATATATTATATGTTAATCTATTTCAAGATCATATATATTTACATTGTATGACAGATTTCATTTTTCATGAAATACCTTAGTTTTCCTACCTACAAAAAAAAGGCAATGATAAATTTTTAAAAAATGCAAATAGAGGCTCGGTGTCTATAGCTCAGCAGCTAGGGTGCCAACCATGTACACCAGGGCTGGTGGGTTCAAACCCAGCCTGGGCTGGCCAAACAACAATGACTAACAAAGAGTACAACAACAACAACAACAACAAAAAAGAAAGAAAAGAAAAGAAAAAAGGACACTCCTCTCCCTCATTGCTTGCTATTTCTTTATTAAAAAAGAAAAAATGCAGACATTTTTGCCTCCTGGCAAAGCAATCGTTCTCCCAGTTGCTCTTTGACAGGTGACTTTTCCGTTCATTAGTGGTATATACTTACTACTCTAAAGGCACATAGTTTTTATTTTTGTTCTGGGGAAAGGGGATGCAGATGATTTTCTAATAAGTCTTTTTATGCCAGTTCTATAAGCATGGCTGTGAAAGCAATGTAATTTCAACAATTTACTTTTGTGATATGAGAAGGTACACGTGGAGGAGTAATTTAGTGATTCCCTAAATTTTTCTAACCCCATTTGCTTATCTCCTCTCTAAGTTTGAAAGATTTTAAACCACTGAATATTGGGATTCAGAAATATGTCTAAAGATAAGCCAGCCTCTCTTCCCAACCTTTGCAATCCCTTATGGCGGTGGTTCTCTAACTTTGGTCCATGTCATAATCACCTGGCAGGCTTGTTAAAACACAAATTATAAGACTCTATTTCCCATTTCTGATTTAGTAGGTCTGGGGTAATGGATGGGAATTTATAGCTTTAACAAGTCCCCATAGTGCTGCTTATCTGGGAAACATTACGTGAGAACTGCTGCCTTAAGGCAATATTACATATCAAGACCTGTTGGGCGGTGCCTGTGGCTCAAGGAGTAGGGCAACGGCCCCATATGCTGGAGGCAGCAGGTTCAAACCCAGCCCCAGCCAAAAAACTGAAAAATAGGGCAGCGCCTGTGGCTCGGAGGGGTAGGGTGCTGGTCCCATATGCTGGAGGTGGTGGATTCAAACCCAGTCTTGGCCAAAAACTGCAAAAAAAAAAAAAGAAAGAAAGAAAGAAAGAAAGAAAGAAAGAAAGAGAGAAAATTAAAAAAAAAAAAGCAAAAAACTGAAAAATAAAAAAAAGACCTGGTAAAACAACATCTTAACTAAAAAGTTTATGAAGTTTTGACACCCGACCCTAAAACACTAAGAATCACTGAAAGGATATAACTCAATATTGTCTTTGAAAAAGTAAATGCCCCCAAATATAGCTGACAGTATTTAAATTAGTATAAATTTTATTGGGGTATAATCAGGTAAAATACTAAGATAAGTCATAATAAGTAAAAATGGTAAACCAATAATTCAAAGGGAGAAGAAAAACCCTTTTATGTGCCACAACATTCACTTAACATTATTGATAACTGCAAAAGCTGAAAACTAGACAAATGGCAAACTGGAGAATGCAAGTGTCAGTATACTGTGCAAACGGACCATCACTTGAACATAATAATCAAGTATACACATGCACAGAAAGGTGGAACCAAAATATTAAACAGAAAAAGTGGAACATAAAACTGGTCATATAAATGTTTAATTAATCAGAGCCATCCTCAACAGATGCAATATTTATTTAAGGTGAAAGGAGGTATTTTAGATAATATTTTTATAAGATATTCTAATTACTCAAGATATTTTATAGAATATTTTGAAATAGTTTCTGGTATACAGATTATAGTGACCATCTAACTTATTGAAAATTACTTTTAATATTTACGAATAGTTAAAAAATTAAAAGCAAAAAAATGGCTAAGAAAATCTATTATTTTTAGGAGAATACTTTTCGAAAACTATTATATGAAGAAATAAGAAACAATACTACGTTGCTGTGCCCAATTACTACGTTGGGCACAGCAACTAAATCACTTGAAGCAAACATACAGAGTTGTAAAGGCAACAGATTACTGATAATGATAATGATAATTACAAAACAAACAAACATGGGATTCAGAGCCTAATAATCTTAGAGAAATCCTTCAAGAAGACTTAATCATTAGAAATATTACAAATGATAAAACACAAAGATAGTCCAGAAAGAAAAAGGGAAGAGAAAGGGGGGGTGTATTTGCTGGGATCTCACCTATTGTACATAAGGCAAGGGTACATTTCAAAACAACTATGAGTACATTGTAAATGTCTTACCACAAAAATAAGTAAGTGAGGTGATGATTATGTTAATTAGTTTGAGTTAAGCATTCCACATTGTGTATCAAATCATCATATTGTACCCCATAAATGCATACAGTTATGATTTAATAAAAATTGAGTTAAAAAAAACTAAAAAATTGGTAAAAAATATCAACTTTTAAAGTTTATGACTTACTGTTTTGATTCACTGTGGCAAACTTCCAAGGTTGGATCATTATAAATAAAAGCAGCCTCTAAATCGTTGACCCTTACTCGGTATATTCTACACTGTTTGCTGCTCAATTTAATTCTATTCAAGTTTGCAACTGTGGGAAATATAGTCAGTTCCACAAATCCCTGTAAAGATAAAAAATAGCAGCTTCATTATAAAGACTGGTATATTTTAGAGCATACTTCTTTGATTTCTACTATATATACACATATTATACTCCATATATAAAATCATAAATAGCTGCATACACATATGTGCTCTACAAGTATCTTAATTTCAAACATGACTGTCCTAATGACTGACCAGGTATAACTTATGAATATTTTATCATCCAGATCAGTAAAAATTAGTTCCCAGGTGATATCGTCTCCAGGGCATCTATCAGAAAATAAAGTAAAAGGACTAACTAATCTCAAATACAGTAAATTATAGACAGATTGGAACCCAAAAAAGGAAGAAGGAAAAAAAAAAGGAGCGGAAAGTGAAGCAAACCCAGAAGGCTGGTGAATGAAAGAACTTGGCAGAAAAAAATGGGGGGAAAAAAACTACACCACCTTTGACAGATCATCCAGACAGAAAACCAAAGACGAAATAGCAGACTTCATCTGCACTACAACCAAATGGACCTAATAGATCTTTACAGAACACTTCATCCAACAGTGGCAGAATACACATTCTTCTCAGTACATGGGTCATTCGCAAGGACAGACAATATGTTAGGCCACAAAACAAGTGGTAAAATATTTTTAAAAAATCGATATATATCAAGTATTTTCTCTGACCACAATGGAGTAAAACTAGAAATTAATAACAGAAGGAACAGTGGAAACTATACAGACACATGGAAATTAAACAATATGCTCCTGTGGTCAGTGGGTCAATTAAGAGACTAAGAAAAAAAATGTTAAATATATTGAAACAAAAATGAAAACACAACATACCAAAACCTATGTGATACAAAAAGAGCACTATTAAGAGGAAAATTTATAGCAATAAGTGTTTTTATCAGGTGGCACCTGTGGCTCAAAGGAGTAGGGTGCCAGCCCCTTATGCCAGAGGTGGTAGGTTCAAACCCAGTCCCGGCCAAAAACTGCAAAATAAATAAATAAATGCTTATATCAAAAAAGGTAGAAAATCTTCAAATAAACAACCTAATAATATATCTTAAAGAACTAGAACTGAGGCTTAGTGCCTGTGGCTCAAGTGGCTAGGGCGCTAGCCACATACACCTAAGGTGGTGGGTTCGAATCCAGCCTGGGCCCGCCAAACAACAATGACAGCTGCAACCAAAAAATAGCTGGGCATTGTGGCGGGTGCCTGTGGTCCCAGCTACTTGGGAGGCTGAGGCAGGAGACTTACTTGTGCCCAGGAGTTGGAGGTTGCTGTGAGCTATGATGCCACAGCACTCTACCCAGGGGGATAGCTGGAGGCTCTGTCTCAAAAAAAAAAAAAAAAGAACTAGAACTGAATGGGAAAAAAAGAAAGCTTTTCCTCTAAGATCTAGAAAAAGACAAGGATGCCCACATTCACCATTGTTATATCGTATGAGAAGTTCTAAATAAAGCAATCAAATAAAAGAAAGAAAGAAAGGGCATCCAAATTGGAAAGGAAGAAGTCACATTATCTTTGCAGACGAAATGATCTTATAGCTAGAGAAACCTGAAGTCTCCACACAAAAACTATTAGAACTGATATACAAATTCAGTAAAGTTACAGGATACAAAATTGACATTCAAAAATCTGCAGCTATTTCTATATGACAATAGCAAACTATCAAAAAAAGAAAAAAAAAAACCCAAGAAAGCAATCCCATATACAATAACCACAAGTAAAAATAAAATATCTAGAAATAAACTTAACCAAAGAAGAGATTCCCTACAAAGAAAATCATAAAATACTAGCAAAAGAAATTGAAGACGACACAAAACAATGGAAAGATACCGCCTATTCCATACTCAAGCATTGGAAGAAATCAATATTGTTAAAACATCCTTATCACTCAAAACAATCTACAGATTCAATGCAATCTCCAGCAAAATACCAGAAAAAATAATCCTAAAATTTATATGGAACCACAAAAGACTTGGAGTAGCCAAAGCCATCCCAAGCACTCTTGGCTTCCCCAAGTGCTAGGAGACCAAGGAGGGAGGAACCCTTGAACTCAGGAGTTGAGCAAAAGCAAGACCCTTTCTTTACTAAAAATGGAAAACAATTAGCTAGATGTTGTGACAGGCGTGGGTAGTTCCAGATACTCAGGAGAACGAGGCAGAAGGATAGCGTGAGCCCAGGAAACTGAAGATGGCTGTTGAGTTAGCTAACTCCAGGGTATGTGAGCCTGGGCAAAAGCATAAGACTGACTCAAACAAACAAACAGAGAAATCATGTTACCTGACTTCAAATTATACCACACAGGTATAGTAACTGAAATAGCATGGTACTGATATAAAAACAGACACATATGTGAATGGATACAGAAGAGAGAATCCAGAAATAAACCCCCAAATCTATAGGGAACTCATTCTAAACAAAGTGCCAAAAATTTATTGGGGAAAGGACAATGTCTTCAATAAATGGTGTTGGGAAAACTAGGTATCTAGCAGGAGAATTAAACTAAGACCCCTTTCTCTCACCATATACAAAAATCAAATCAAAATAAATTAAAGACTTAAATCTAAGATCTGAAATTATGAACCTACTAAAAGAAAACATTGGGGACACACTCCAAGAAATTGGTCTGGGCAATGATTTCCCGAGTAATATATGAAAAAAAAAAGCATAGGTAACCACAGCAAAATTGTACACAGGGGATCACATAGAGCTAAGAAGTTTTTGCACAGCAAAGAAAACAATCAACAGAAGCAACCTGCATAAAAGGGAAAATGAGGTCATTATATACATTATCCCAGGTTGCTGGCAGTAGTTTCATTCTTCTACTAATGGCAACAGCTCCTATAAGGGAATTCTTTCCTATGGCTAGAGTAGGTTCTATTAAATTCTTCCTCCTTTTGATCTTTCAAGCCCACAAGTGTTAACTGTTCTTTACCGTTGCTAGCTCAGTGTCCCTAACACCTTGTTAGGTTCTCTTAACCCTGTTTGTTCTAAACAGTACCATCGCTAATTTCCCTCAATTAATCTGTACATGTGTGCCATTTTTTTTCCTTTCAGGGACCTAACCCATACACCATTCAACCAATAGTTCTAGTGGGAAACAAGTCATCCACAACACAATTCGTTTCTAAAGAGTAACCTGCAACTCCTTTCTATCAATTCTTCCAGGTTAGTAGGGATGGAGGTGAAATGATACACAAAAAGAAGGTACAGAGGACGTTTAGATCATTAAATCAGCTCTCAACAAGACTTTAGGCGACAGCTTGAGCCTGTGTCTCAAAAAATAAAAATTAAAAAAACTTAAAGAAAAAAACAGAATAAACTTACCACAACAGATTTTCTCTGGAAGTTTATGTTGTTTATGCAGACGACCTGATGAGTTGTATATTACAAAATATGAAAATAAAAGAGAAACAATTTTTGTTATTAAATGAAAGCATAAGCTTATCCAGATATAAACAAGGGTTACGTTCTTAATAGCTCAAAATCACGTCGATCTTTCATTCTAAAACAATCCCTACAATTTAAGATAACTTGTTTTAAATCTAGCAACAGCCCCGAAAATAGATCTCTTTTGATAGAAATGCAACTTAGTGCTCTTAAAAAGGTATCTTTCAAGGGGAAATAAATCTGCTGAGTAACACTGTCATTCACAATATTTTCCCTCCACAAACACCATTTCCATCACAGGGAATTCTAGTTTCCCACGAGGTTTCTCAGCCCCAAAAAGTCGGCTTCAAGGAATTACAAAATACAATGAATGGCAACAAAACCGTAAAGAAGTGAGATGGAAAAAATACTTATAATTTATATGGCCGTGGGCTTTCAAAGCCCTTGTCTCCTTTCTTCCTGTTCATTCTGGCGGGCTCTAAACCAGTCGGCGGCATGAAGCGGTCCCGCGGAGCCTGGCTTCCCCGCGTCCCGGGGGGCTGCGGGGCATTATTCGTCTCGGGGACCTCACAGCCCCAGCTCCCGCTCGGCCGCCACCAGCCACGCCCCGCGGCCGGGACGCCGTCGGCGCCCAGACCCGCCCGACCGCGGCAGCCTCAGATTCGCTCCCTCCACCAGGCTCCTAGAAAGCGCCTGGGCCAGGATTCTGTCACAGAGATGCCCGGCTCTGCAACCGCTCAAAGATACCGTCCCCCGACATCTTGGCCGTGGCCTTTGACCTCAGACGTCAGCGGAAGAGGAAAGGCGGACGAGGTAGAATCCGGAAGTATTGCAGCAGTAGGCGGGATCTGAGCGCTAATACGAGGATTTCTGTATTTTCCTTTTCCTGTGCACGTGGTGAGATTTGTTAAAATTCAGTAAAGTGAAAATATCTAGTGGGGGAAAGGAGATGAGTTTGCGAAGGGCCAGGTAAAACAGGCTCAGCGGCTACTGCTAGTTAAGGGGTCTCCCAAAACCAGAAAGAGGGGTGTTCCTCTGGCTGTGTTAAACAGACACCCCACTCTCATTGGGTCCCAGTGATTTAAACTGTAAACTTTGTAATTAAACTGCAAGCAGTCTAAGTGTCACATTCTAGAACTCTGGAGTCATCATTAGACATTGCTACATCAGTATTTATTTTAAAACTGTACTAAAATTTATATACTCAAGTCACCTTTGACTTAGGAAATTACAAGATATACAAGGTAACAAATTATCATTGGTATATAATGAGTACTACAGTTTTTATAGTTTTCTCCTTTTAAAATGTGTATAATTTGGCTCGGCGCCCGTGGCTCAAGCGGCTAAGGCGTCAGCCACATACTCCAAAGCTAACAGGCTCGAATCCAGCCCGGGCCTGCCAAACAAGGACGGCTGCAACCAAAAAATAGTTCAGCATTGTGGTGGGCGCCTGTAGTCCCAGCTACTTGGGAGGCAGAGGCAAGAGAATCGCTTGAACCCAGGAGTTGTAGGTTGCTGTGAGTTGTGATGGCACAGCATTCTACCCAGGGCGATAGCTTGAGGCTGTCAAAAAAAAAAAAAAAAAAGTTTAGGGCAACGCCAGTGGCTCAAGGAGCAGGGCACCGACCCCATATGCCGGAGGTGGTTGGTTCAAACCCAGCCCTGTCCAAAAGAAAAATGTGTATAATTTTTTTTGCTATCCTCTGTGTATACATTGAAAAAAAGACAAATATTTTGAAGCCACCATGTTTGCATTTCATAGGCATAAAAATAAAACTCACAAACTCCCGGGCTGGGCATGGTGGCTCATGCCTGTAGTCCTAGCATTTTGGGAGGGGAAGGCAGGAGAATCACTTGAGGTCAGGAGTTTGAGACCAGCCTGAGAAAAGCGAGACCCCCATCTCTGCTAAAAATGGAAAAGTTAGCCAGAAATGATGGTGGTGCCTGTAGTCCCAGCTACTCAGGAGTCTGAAACAGGAGGATAACTTGAGCCCGGGAGTTTGAAGTTGCTGTGAGGAAGGCTGAGGCCATGGCACTCTAGCTAGGGAAACAGCAAGATTCTGTCTCAAAAACAACAAACAAAACTTGTATTGGAAACTTCAGTAACAGTTAAATCTTGATTAACTTCATTGTAGATTACCCATTAACATTTTTTAGATCTTGGACAAGAAATAATCTTGACCTGTTCTCTCCAACTGTCCTGGTAACAAATTCATTAGCTAAGTTAGAATTAATTTGAACTTTGATCTAAACCAAAACAAATTAGGAAAATGAAGCTACCAAGCATTCCAAACCAACTAGAAATTACTTTTAAGTTTTCTAGTAATTCCTATGCCAGTATTACTCATTGTAAGATTAATAAAATGTTCTACTAGTCTTCTTTTTTTTTTTTTTTTTTTTGACAGTTTTTGGCCAGGGTTGGGGATGAACCTGCCACCTCTGGTATATGGAGCCAGCGCCCTCTCCTTTGAGCCACAGGCACCGTCCCTCTACTAGTATTCGTAATATAAGATTGAGGATCAATCCCACTTTTTTCCCCTAAGTGCATGTCTACACCAACTAGGCAAACAGGATAAATTCTTAAGTCAATTTCTGCCTGGCGGGGTGGCTCATGCCTATAATTCCAGTGTGCGTTAGGAGGCCAAGATGGGAGGACAGCTTGAGTCCAGGAGTTTGAGACCAGCCTGGGCAACACGGCAAGACTTTACCTCTGTGAAAAATAAGAATTAACCAATTGTTGTGATATGTGCCTGTAGTCCTAGCTATCTGAGAGGCTGAGGGGGGAGGACTTTTTGAACTTGGGAGTTTCAGGTTGTAGTGCGCTATAACTGCACTCCAGCCTAGGTGACAGAGCAATTCCCTATCTCAGGGGGAAAAAGGGGCAATTCCATCAATACTAACAAGAACTAAATATAAATAATTGATAGTGGCTAGTGACTTACTGTTTTGGTAGAAAGTTGGAAGTATAGGGAACTCACTTGAGAAATGGCATTTAAGTGCATAAATAATTCCCTTTTTAAAAACTAGATCTCTGAAAAACTTTTAAATGTATTAATGATTAGAATATCAAATCTAAGGCTGGGCACAGTGGCTCACACTTGTAATCCTAGCACTCTGGAAGGCCAAAGCAGGTGGATTGTGTGAGCTCATGAGTTCCAGACTACGCTAAGCCAAGCCAGACCTCTTCGCTAAAAATAGCTGAGGGTTGAGGTGGGTGCCTGTAGTCCTAGCTATTTTGGAGGCTGAGGCAAGAGAATCACTTCAGCCCAAGAGTTTGAGGTTGCTTTGAGCTGTGACACCGTAGCACTCTACCAAGGGCAAGAAGTGAGACTCTGTCTCAAAAAATAAAAGAACATCAAATCATTTTTCTTTTCTTCTCTCCCCTCTTTTTTCTTTTCAACAGAGTCTCAGTCTGTCGCCCTAGGTCACAGCAACCACAAACTCTTGGGCTCAAGCGATTCTCCTGTCTCAGCCTCCCAAGTAACGAAGACTACAGGCACCCACCACAACACCCGGCTATTTTTTTCACTCTGGCTCAGGTGGGTCTTGAACACGTGAGGTCAGGCAGTCCACCCACCTTGGCCTCCCAGAGTGCTAGGATTATAGGCGTGAGCCACCAAGCCCGGCCCAGAACATCAAATCTTAATTAAAGAAATGACATTTTAAATATAAAAAGCAAAACTCTTTTTCTATAAATAAAACCATACAGACCTCAGATACACTAAAAATAGATACTACAGTACTTTCTTTTGTCTTTGTTTACACTGTTTACATAGTACAAATGTGATGTGAAAGATACAGAAGTATTACATTTAAGAAATAAGAATAGTAGTTTCAAAATGCCTTAAGATGAAGAGAAAAATGCAGTAGAGAACTTTTTTTAGAAAGTCAGGAATAAAAATACATAAGAGAATCTTTTCTTATATACAGGAACTTCATAAAGCCCAAAGTGCCAAAGAAAAGTCTGTGGTTCTTTTAGGAAATGGGTCTTCTTGAATTATACACTTTAACACCATTTTGCATTGAAGAACGAGAATACTTAGTGAGTAATGCACCTATGGTTTGCTTCTCTCCACATAAGTCTCTGTAGAAACAATAAAAAAAAAATGAGTAGTGTGAATAAAGGAACATAAGACAATATTTTATAGTACTGCATACTTATTTTATCTCTCTCCCGCAAATCTATTTTTCCAGTAAGCACTGTGTGTGGGTGTTTGTGGGACAGATGAGGTGAGGAGTGGTTGTAAGTCTTATTAGAACTAGATGTGTTACATGCATTATCTCATCTAACCTTCACAGTAATGTTATTTAACTCTGTGAGAGTTCTGAGGAAACTGACATCCAGACAGGTAGTAAATTCTGCTATCAGGCCTGTATGACTTCAAAGTCCGGGGTATTTCCATTATGTCACACAGCCTCCAAATCAGAAATAAAAGCAGTGGGATACAGTGAGGCCTGGAGTCCAAGAACCTGGATACTGTGCTACCTGCGTGAGCTTGTCTAGGTTACAACCGTTTTCGAACTTTAGCTTCCTCTTTTGTGCATCAAAGAGAAGAATATGACTGGAACAGAGAAACGGGAGGATTTGAGCTGGACATGGGAATAAGGGCGAGATCATGTAGGGCTCTGAAGGACATAGAAAAGAATCATGATTTAATTATACTTTTTACTTTATATATTTTTTAATTCAGATTAATATGAGGGTACAAGTGATTAGGTTACATTATTTAAATTTTTTATTTTTTTTGAGACAGAGTCTCACTTTGTTGCCCTCGGTAGAGTGCCATAGCATCATAGCTCACAGCAACCTCAAATGCTTGGGCTCAAGAGTTTCCCGAGTAGCTGGGACTACAGGCACCCACCACTTTTTAGAGACGAGGTCTCACTCTGGCTCAGGCTGGTCTCAAACCCATAAGCTCAGGCAATCTGCGGGCCTTGGCCTCCCGAGAGCTGGGATTACAGGCATGAGCCACCGTGCCCGGCCTACATTGTTTATATTTCTAAGGTAAAATTCAAGTTGTAGTTGCATGAACTAGGAGAGCTTTTGTTAATGTAAAGGCACAATGTGATCTAAGTTTTAAATAATGGAGGCAGTGAGTTGGTGATTATGGAAGCTGGGTTATATTTCACTTTTATATTTTCCCTTTTGAATAATTAAAATTTTCCAAAAGCAGCAGTCTAAAAAGGAGAAAGGAGAAGGGGACCAAAAATAGTAGCAGGGAGACCAATCCAGAGGCAGGTGCACGATGATCCATTGGGATTTACTTATAGTTTGAACTGGAAGATGAGGGGAGGAAAAAACGAGGATGATTCCTAGGCTTCTGCTTGAGTGACTGGATTAGTGGTGGTGCTGCTGTTAACTGAGATGAAGAACAGGAAGCTAAAGTTCAGTAACAGTTGGTAAGATAAGCTCACACAAGTAGGTGGGGACAAGGGGGAAGTAACAGTTCCGTTGTGAACAGGATCAGTCAGACGGTCCTCCTGGATACCCAAGTGGAAAAGTGAATTAGGCAACTAGACCTAAGAAGCTGAAGCTTTAGGAAAAGGGCAAATATGAAGATAAAATTAGGAAGTCATGAAATTTATATCTAGGCCTAGATGAGAGCACCAAGGGGAAAGCACAAGTAGAAGGGAAGACGGCGGCTTGGCGCCTGTGGCTCAAGTGGCTAAGGCGCCAGCCACATACATCTAAGGTGGCGGGTTTGAAACCAGCCTGGGCCTGCCAAACAACAATGATGGCTGCAATCAAAAAATAGCCGGGCGTTGTGGTGGGCGCCTGTGGTCCTAGCTACTTGGGAGGCAGAGGCAAGAGACTCGCTTAAGCCCAGGAGTTGGTGGTTGCTGTGAGCCATGATGCCATGGCACTCTACCCAGGGGGACAGCTTGAGGCTCTGTCTCAAAAAAAAAAAAAAGAAGAAGAGAAGATGGCCCAAGAATAAAGTCCTGGAGTACTCTACCATTTAAAGATTGGGGAGAACAGAGATAAATCAGCAAAAGGGATAGAAGAGGAGCGGCGCTGGGAAAGAAGGGGCACCAGAGTGTTTCAAGCTTCGAATGAATTGGTCTAATGCATCAGGTCGTGTAAACACCTGAGGTCAAGTAAACAAGGATAGACAATGAGTGTAAAAAGATGGATGTCACTGGACTAAGGAGCTGTCAATCGCTAAGGGAAAGAATGGGAGGTGAAGAGAAAGAATGAATAAGCAAAACTTTTTTTCTTTTTTTCGTGACAGTCTTACTACGTCACCCTCGGTAGAATGTCATGACATCACAGCTCACAGCAACCTCAAACTCTTGGGCTTTAGCAATTCTCTTGCCTCCACGGGCTACAGGCACCTGCCACAATGCCCGGCTGTTTTTTTGTTGCAGTTGTATTATTGTTTAGCTGGCCCAGGACAGGTTGGAGCCCATCAGCTTCAGTGTATGCGGCCGGCACCCTACAGGCACTGCTTTTTTTTTTGAGACACAGTCTTACTTTGTTGCTCAAACTAGAGTACCATGGTATTAGCCTAACCTATTTATGTCACACCAACCTCACATTCCTGGATTCAAGCCATCCTCCTTCCTTAGCCTTCCAAGTAGCTGGGATGGCAGGCACCTGCCACAAAGCCCGACTATTTTTTTACCTTTAATAGAAACGGGGACTTGCTCTTGCTGAGGCTGGTCTCAAACTCCTGAGCTCAAGTGATCCTTCTGCTTCCACCTCCCAGAATTCCAGGTATACTGGCATGAGCCACACTATCCCCAGCCCAAGTATGCAAAACTTTTAAAAGGAGTTTTCTTGTGAAGGAGGGTGGAGAGCACAGGAACCAGCAGCTTGCTATTGTCGTTTTTTCAAGATGGGCAACATTACAGACTATGATATGCTGACGGGGATGATCCAGAAGAGAGGGAAATACTGAAATCATAGGGGGGGAAGGGATAACTGGAGGATCCAAATCTTTAAAAAGGTCAGAGGGAATGGATCTAGTGCAGAAAGATTGGCCTTTGGAGCAGGGATAGTTCGTGTGCCGTACAGGAGGAACTGCAAAGGAGGCAGTGCGTGCAAGAGGAGGTTGGCAGATCTGGCAGTGGGGAAGAAGGTGATTCTTGCCTTGCTGCTTCTGTTTTCTCAAGAAATAAGGTCATAAAGGAGGGTGAAGAAGAAACAGAGGGTAGTGCTCTCATGAGAAAAGAAAAGAAGATGTAAAGGAAGCTCCAAGGAGAGAGAAGGAAATGGTGCCTGGCTAGGGGCATGCTAAGCACCATTTAGGTTCTTAAGCAAGACTGGGAGCCCCGTTGTGTATTTTTCTCCAGAAAATTTCAGCTGCCCTGGTATAAGCACAGAATAAGCAGAAAGTTAGGTTTTAGTTTTTTGCTAGGAATATAGGTCAAGAGGGAGAAAGGACCAAAGGAATAAAGTGTAGACAGTAAGAGAAAGACACAGTCCAAGGTGTGGAAAGAGAAAAGAGGACCTGAGAGGTCTGACAAAGTCACGAGGCTGCCATGTCAGGGGATTTCAAGTGTAGTGGACTTGAGAGCCTATGAGCAGGGACTTCAGGGCTACCCTGTTCTGCTGTCCTCTGGCCTCTCGCATGGTGTTAAAATAAGGCAGCAAGAAAGACGGAAGGTGGCAATCAGGGAGGAATACTTGCCTTAGAGTCCGAGCAGGTATGTATTCCATCTCTCAAAGTAGAGGGTTTTGTGGAGAGGAGAGCAAAGAAGTGGGTTTTAGAAGCAGGAGGAAGGAACAAAGATAACATATACTCAACCTTCAGGACCAGTAATTGTGGAGAATGACAGAGAAAGAGAAGACACAGCACCTGAGAGAAGCTGCACCTTCAGGGAATATTCAAGACAATTGTGTTCTAGTGATAAATCTGAAGTTCTATGTCACTCTTTGTGAAAAGAACCCTCAAAATCCCTTTTTAATAAATTACTTACTGAATATATGGTGCAATATCTTCTTCTGTCCACTTCTCCCTTAGAGAGAATAAACTATTAAAACGTCCCTGATTATCTTCAGGTAAATCATCTACTTTGAGCAAAAAAATGACTTCTGGTCTGGAGCGTCTATCCACCAGTGCTACACCCTACAAGTGAGAAGAAAAACAGCCGTTAAAGCAGTGATCTACTGTTTCAGTATGACTCATTCTTTGAGCTGAGGTTTAGCTTAGCCCAAGGTATTTACAAAGTCGGCTACAGGAAACTTAACACAACTCTCCAGAGAGTCACAATAGCCTTTTGCATAGAGAGCTCCCTTCTTCCATCTGGCTTCTGCACCACCAGTTTACTAAGACAGCTCTGGTTCTAAGAGGGCAACAGAGACCTGTCACTTCCGAGACTGGCGAGCTCCTCTCTTGGATTCATCTTGCCCTCTGTTTTCTTTGTTAATGTTGATTACTTTTTCTTCTTTAAATCTCTCTCCATCTCTGACATGACTGTCTCCTTATCTTCTTCCTAACGTGCAGTTGTAACTTCCCAGAGCTCTCTCCTGACACTACTTGTTTTACTGTCACTCTCCTGGGCAACCTCATCTAAACCTGTGGTCTGAACCACCACTTACTTGCTAATGACTATAATATTTCTATCTTCAGCTCACGTATCTGCTTAGGGATGCTACTGCTATTGGAGAGGCCACGGGGATGGAAGTGAAGAGAAAGAAAATGAAATGAGACACACTGTTTGGGGTCAAGGATTAATTGTGGATGGGCCCAAAGGCTCTTCCTGAGGAATTGGGTATGTTTTAAGATTGGATTGGTGTGTTTGATGGAAGTATTTCAGATTGCATGTGAAAACCCCACACTGTACCCCAGAAGTGCATTAATGTACATAGTTACCATTCAATAAAAAAAAAAAAAAGATTGGATTGGTGTGATAGTAACTTAGAAGATTTGCTAAAAACCTTTATTTAAAGGTGAATTTTACGATATGTAAATTATACTTCAATAAATCACTGTTTGTTTGTTTTCTTTAAGTAATGGGTCAAGTGCATACCGAATGGGTATCTAGGCAGATAGGTATAAATTGGCTCCAGATTCAGCTCCACTACAAGTATCATTTCCCCTGGTAATTCATCACCTGCTGAATTAAAGTAACAGCTCCTACTGCTATTACCTTAAGCTGATCAAGCCTGGTTATCATTCCTTCAGGAACACTCTGCTGCCAAACTTCTTGAAACTCAGCGAGATTGAATTTCACGGCATTCTGGAGCAGCATCTGCGCCGTTGCTCTGCATATTTTATCAGCATTCAGTTCAAAATAAACTTCACCTAAGGAAAAGGTATCCGATGAGTTTCATGCTACCCTCTTATAATTAAATACAGTACTAACTTTTGCTTTTTCTCAATTCCATTTCTTGGAAGGAATTATATATCTTAACTCACCTCCTACAACTCCGTAAGAGTTCCTGTTTTTAACACCAACGCACTTCCGACACGTACACCAATTTTAACATGAGTTAAAATAACAATGAGAATACTTTCCAAATCTTACCTTCCTCTACATACTTCGTCCCATAACATTTAAGGCAGTGTTCTATCATTTCCCTGAAAAATTTAAAGTACTCATTTAAAAAGTTATCAACATTTTTATGGAGTATATTTTGAAACCTCATTGCTAACTAGAATCTAAGATATAAATTTTTTTGAGTCTCACTGTGTCGCCCTTGGTAGAGTGCCATGGTGTCACAGCTCACAGCAACCTCAAACTCTTGGGTTCAAGCGATTCTCTTGCCTCAGCCTCCTAAGTAGCTGAAACTATAGGCACCCACCACAATGCTCAACTATTTTTTGGTTGCAGTTGTCATTGTTGTTTAGCAGGACTGGGCCAGGCTTAAACCCACCAGCTTTGGTGTATGTGGGTAGCACCCTACTTAATGAGTACGGGCACCGAGCCTAAGATATGAATTTGAGATTTGAAATACTAAGTAATTTGGGTAGCTAAATAATACTTTATTTAAATTACAAATTAAAATATACTGGAAAGCTGCTATGTTCTAGTCCCTGTGCTAAATGTTTTAACATGAATTATATGAGCATACATTTATTATTATAACATAGCTCAAACAGAGTAGCACCCATAGCTCAGAGGGTAGGGCACCAACAACAAACAGCTAGGCTGGTGGGTTCAAAGGCAGCCTGGGCCAACTAAAACAACAATGACAACTGCAACAGAAATATAGCTGGCTGTTGTGGTGGGTGCCTGTAGTTCCAGCTACTTGGGAGGCTGAGGCAAGAGAATCACTTAATCCCAAGAGTTGGAGGTTGCTGTGAGCTGTGACAGCACAGCACTCTACACAGGGCAACATGGTGAGTCTCTGTCTCAAAAAAAAAAAGATAGCTCAAACATATCAATTTGTTAATATTTTTATGGCACAAAAATTTAAAAAGATAATGTACATTTATTCACCCCAGTAACACAATTCCTAAATCTTTTTTGGTTCTATTATTTAAATCCTTTGTCTACGATATCAAAATGTAATTATTGTACTCTAGGTGCCCTGAGTGTAGTTGCAGTCCGGAAAGAATTTTCTTCCCCTTAAGGAAATCTGGATGGATAAGAAATTAAAATACTTCTCAACTATAACTTGGACTTTGCCTGACAAATGCAAATAATGTAAGCTAATCATTTGTATCCTCATATTAATCTGAAATTAAAAAAAAAATGAATTAAAACACTTACTCTGGCTCCAATGGTCCAAGTTCCTGAAGGCATATATTCAAAGGAACTTTACTAAAAGACCATGATTCAGAATCCACAAGCTGAGTTACGTGATTCAGAAGTTTCATCTCATAATCAAATTCAAGAATCCTCCAATAACCTGCAAATTCCAAAAGTTTTATTTACCAAAAGACATGTTAAGCGAATTCCTTAGCTAATAGAATTTAAAATAGGAGCATACTCTTGCTCACAGCAAAAAAAGACACTGAAAGTCTTCTGCTTTCTTTAAACAGAACTCCTTGTTAAGCTTTCTCCCCAGTCATTTTAAATTGTGTCTTAAGGCGGATTCTAGAGTCTGTCACATATTACTAACACTTTTTTCAGGTGCTTTGATCTTCAGTTATCTCACAATAATCTTATTGTACTAAGAGAAAATGAGGAAGTCTGCAGCTGGCACAGTCACTGCATTAGAATATCATACAAATGAGGTGAAGGTTGTAGGTTTGATATCCTACAAGGTCAGGCAATTAAGTTCACAAGTCTATCCTAAAAAAAGTGCTGCCTACTTCATTGCTGAATATCACTACAGTCACCTTCAAAGCACTTTCCTTGGGAAGATATGCACCCAACCCAGTGCCTTCCTTTTTCTTTTCTTTTTTTTCTGAGATAGTCTCAAGCTGTTGCCCTGGTAGACTGCCGTGGCGTCATACCTCACAGCAACCTCCAACTCATGTGCTCAAGCAATCCTCTTGCATCAGTTTTTTTATTTTTAGTTAGAGACGGGGGAAGGGGGGCCCTTTTTTGCTCAGGCTGGTCTCGAACTCATGAGCTCAAGCAACTCACCCACCTTGGCCTCCCGGAGTGCTAGGATTACAGGCCTGAATCACCACGACCAGCTGGCAGCACCTTTCTTCAAGCGCTTTTTCTAGGATGAGTTCATGAACTTAACTGCCAGACCTCAAACAACAAACAACAGCTTGGATGGCCATTCTATAGAAAAAAAGCTCCAAAGTTGCTTTGAAGGGTAGACTATGTGATGGAGTCAGGGTAAAGCTTCCCAAGGATAGTACTTCAAAGGTGACCATAGTGCTATTCAGCAATTAGGTATGTAGACCTTTTTCTAGGAGAATTTGCAAATTTAATTGTCAGACCTTATACATGGCAATTTCCGCTATGCTGAACTGCCACAGTTAGAACTCTGTCATCACAGGTACTTCAGAGGTGTTCCTATCCTCATAAACAAGGCCAGCTTACTCAAGAAATGACAGACGCTGAGGTCCAGTGTGGATGAGGGCAAAAAACAAAGGGTAGGCATCAAGATACGTTTCCCCATTTCCATGAAAGATTAGAAAATGCCATTTTATAATCAATGGTATAACAAACATTCCTGGAGAAAGAAATCAAGTGCACATCCACTATTTCCAAGGGAGAATGTCTTTATTCTTCTTATTATTATCTTTTTGTTTTGGAGACAGAGTCTCACTTTGTTGACCCAGATAAAGTGCTGTGGCATCATCATAGCTCACAGCAACCTCAAACTCTTGGGCTCAAGTAATTCTCTTGCCTCAGCCTCCCTAGTAACTGAGACTATAGGCACCCACCACAACACCTGGCTATTCTTAGAGCCTTGCCCTTGCTCAGGCTGGTCTCCAACTTGCGAGCTCAAGTGATCCATCTGCCTTGGCCTCCCAAAATGCTGAGATTACAGGCATGAGCCACCGCAGCCAGTCTTGTTCTTATTTTTAAAAATAAAGGCAACATTAAAAACTGAGGAAGAAAGCTAGAAGAAGTCTATGCATCCCCCTGCCAAAATTGTATGCATTCCCATAGTGCGAGTGAATAATGCAGAGAGCTGCATTAAAGTACACTGTTTAATTTGTTGAAAAAAAAAAAAAACAAAAACAAAACTGAAAAACAAAAAAGAAACTTTAACATTTATAGTGTCCATATACCACAGTAATTAATAGCAGGCATCCATAGTATCTATAATTAATAACTTGCTTTAGATGCCTAAGAGAAAATGAATCTCAAAGAAGCACAAAAAAGAGCTAACTCCTTCCAGTTAGTACTAAAGTTGTGTGCAATTGCTTTATTCAACAAAATTTGACATTTAAGGTCTCACAAAAGCTAACCTTGTTTGGAAGATTATGAGCAAACTGAATAGTGCATCTACGGGCCCATGCTGACTTCCTCCTTCTTAACACCTGGATACAGAATTCAGCTGCTCTTGACCCAAGTATCAGTGCATACTACAGGCCCAGATGGTTGCGGGAAAAGCTCCAACTCTAGAGCAGAAGGCAGTCAAAATATTAAAGATGGTGTGGGGCATCTCCACCAGCACCGTACACCAATACACACTCCCATATCTTTTGTGCAGGCTTATCGTGTAAACTAACACATGTTCAAAAATACACTGCAAGTTATCACAAGAGAAACAGCCCCCTCTTCCAAGCAATTTGGAAATACAACAAAGTTATTAAATTAATTCTGAACTAGGAGTTCAGGGGCTTAGATTGAAAAGAGTAGATTACCTAATATCTAAGGAACACTCTTAATCTAACATGGTTGTTCGGTCACCACTTAATTGAAAGACAAAGGCTGGTAAGGAGTGGTTAAATCACAGATGGACCGCCCTATGTAAATACTATCGATCACACTCAGTCACCAGCCCCCACCTGAAAAGAAAAATGTTACCATCTTTGAACCCAAAAGATGATTATATAAACTGTATGCAACAGGGTAAATATGTCCCCAAACATCTCTCTCTTATAAGATGCCCAATTCCTTCATTAATAATCATAAGAGTAAGTAATGTTACCTCCAATCTCACAGGCGTTCAGAACTTGCAATTGGGTCATTATTTCCTCCTCACTTGCCTGAATTTGATTAAGCAAATCTTCAGTTGTATACTGAAACACACAAACAAAAAATATATTTTAAGGCATATGAAGAAAAACATTTTTAAAAATTCTTGAAGTTTGGGGAATACATAGAACAGATTAAGGCGATATTTATACATGAAGGCTAGCTCAATTTCTTTTGTTAATGTTTAATGATGACTACATAAAATCAATGGATGTCTTAGAAAAAACAGAGGTAAATCTTCATGACATTGGATTTGGCAATAGTTTCTTAAATATCATACACTGTTGAATAAAAATAAGCAACAAATGAAAAAATAGATCAATTGGATATCATCAAAATGATAATCTTTTGTACTTCTCAAAATACAACACAAAAAGACAAATGTTATATTGTTTTACATATAGGCGGTATTTAGAGTGGCCAAATTCATATACAGAAAATACAATGGTGGTTGTCAGAAATGGAGAGTTATTGTTTAATGGGTATAGAGTTTCAGTTTGGGAAGATGAAAATGTTCTAGAGATGGATGGTGCTGATCATTGCATACCACTATGAATGTACTTAATGCTACTGAACTATATACTTAAAAGAGGTTAAAATGGTAAATTTTATGTAATGTATATTTTATCAAAATAAAAAAGGGAAGAAAGTGAAAAGACAGCCCATAAAATGGGAGAAAATATTTGTAAATCATATATCTGATAAGGGATTTGTAGTTAGATTATGTAAAGAACTCTCCTATAGTTCCAACGATAAAAAGAGAACTCAAGGCTCAGGGCCGCCTGTAGCACAGTGGTTACAGTGCCAGCCACATACACCGAGGGTGGCAGGTTTGAACCCAGCCTGGCCCAGATAAATAAGAATGACAACTGCAACAAAAAATAGCTGGGCATTGTGGCGGGTGCCTGTAGTCCCAGCTACTTGGGAGGCTAAGGCAAGAGAATCACTTAAGCCCAAGTGTTTGAGCTGTAGCTGTGATAACCACAGCACTCTACCGAGGGTGATATAGTGAGACTCTGTCTCTACAAAAAAAAAAAAAAAAAAAAAAGGAACACATATACATAAGGGCGGTGCCTGTGGTTCAGTGAGTAGGGTGATGGCCTCATATACCCGGGGTGGCAGGTTCGAACCCCGCCCTGGCCAAATTGCAACAACAAAAAAATAGCCGAGCGTTGTGGCAGGTGCCTGTAGTCCCAGCTACGGGGGAGGCTGAGGCAAGAGAATTGCCTAAGCCCAAGAAGTGAACTATGACATCATGGCACTAATTAATAATTGTTCAAGGGAAGGCAGGTCATTGTAGTATTCTGGGTACGTTTTAAATTTTCACAACATAAACTTTGAAAAGTAAGAATGTCACTAAGGGCAACAAAGTGAGACTGTCTCTACAAAACAAAAAAGACAACTCAATTAGAAATTACCAAAAGAACTGATTAGACATTTCTCCAAAGATATATAAACAGTCAATAAGCACAGAAAAGATGTTCAACATCATTAGTCACCTGGGAAATGCACATCAAAACCACAGTGAGATACCAGGACAGACAGTAAATGTTATTGAGGTTGTAGTAAAATTGGAACCCTCATCCACTGCTGCTGGGAACAGTACATGGTGTGGCCACACTTGGAAGCAGTATGTCAGCTCCTCAAAAGGTTTCAGGTTACAGAGTTGCACCATGACCTATCTGTTTTAGGTATTTATCCAAGAGAAAAGAAAACCTAGGTCTACATAAAAACTGACACATGAACGATCACAGCAGCATCATTAACCAAAAAGTGGAAACTACCTAAATGTCTATCAACTAATGAATGAATAAAACATGGTCTATCCATAAAATGGGATTTTATTCATCAACAAGGATGAACCTTGAAAAGATTATGCTAAGTGAAAGAAGCCAGTCAGAAAAGACCATGTACTATATGATTCCTTTAACTGAAATGTCCAGAACAGGCAAATCTAGAGACTGGAAAGTTGATTAGTGGTTGCCTAGGGCTGAGGGGAAAAGGGAGAGAAGGTGGGATGGGAACGGGACAGCCAAAGGCTATGAGGTTTCTTTGGGGAGGTGACGAAAATATTCTAGGCTTGATGGTGGTGATGGCTGCACAACTCTTGAAATGTACACAAAACCATTCAATTGCACATTTAGGATGAATCATTTAGTCTATGAATTATTCTCAAAAAAGCTCTTACTCAAAAAACATTTTAAAAGAAAAATCATTCAATGGAGAAAAAGAACTTATATGGTCTTCAGGATGCCAAAGATTTCTGTAAGTTTAAATGGCATGAAAAACATTAAAACTTTCTTTTACTTGGATTATAAATATTTTTTCATACCTCCAGGAATTAGTTAATTTTGACATTCAAGTAAGAAGTCTTTTCCATTTTCATAATTATATTTTTAATTAAACATACATTAATTTTACTTCTAGAAAACTACTATTTAAAAGTTAAGAACATGAGAAGCTTTCAGCTATATGAATGGCACCATGCTCTGCTATATACAGGATTTGCTGTAAAATTCTCTAGAAAAAGAAAGAAAGGTGGAAGGATAGAAGGGGACAGAAGAAACAAGACTGACTAATAATTGTTCAAGGGAAGGCAGGTCATTGTTGTACTCTCTGGGTACGTTTTAAATTTTCACAACATAAACTTTAAAAAGAACGTCACTATAGAGTACCTCTAATTTTAGTGTTTTTTTCAAATAAATTTCACATAAAAAAGTGAAAATGGTCTTACTTTTGAGCAAGTAGAATCCTTTTCTTTTTGACTATCAGGTCCTTCATAGGTATGTTCCATCAAAAGTTTCTTTAGCTTCTTTAATTTAGGTCTACATCTTCTTAATTCCCAATAATTATTGGAAAAACCAAAGATCTAGAAATGATAATATATATAACATTTTAAAGGACATTCTAAAACAAAATTTCACACAAAATTCCAGTGAACCCCTCTGCCCTCAACAATTACCGAGAAAAGGCAGCCATGGTATCTGTGTTCTGTCAGGAAAATACCTAACTAGCCACCTCAAGTAGACTCATGGGCACCGTCAGGAAGCATCTTTTTAAACCCAATTAATAAGACGCTGCCAGCATAGGTGAGAACCAATATTGAGCATCACATTTCAAATGTACTCTGGAAATTAGAGTCTTGCCCAGGAAAAGAAATGACCAGGGTAGTGACAATTCTGCAAATCAGATGGAAATAACTAAAAATGAATACACTTAGGCTAAAAATTAGAAAATAAAGAAAGGCATTAGTCTTCCAACAATAATGGGATGTTTAAGGGGAAAGGGATGGGATGTCTCACCCAAGATGTCAAAATTAAGCAGAAGGGAGAAATTTCAATGCAAGAACTTTCTACTATTTAGGATGACAGCTAGTCCCATCATGGCACGTGTGAAACAGTAAGAGGCCTATAACTCAAACTCTAGGTGATAGAGGATACAGAATGGATGAGGGTCCCTTTCTGGGACCTTTCTGTATCCCCAAGACTTGCCCAGTTGCCCAGTGCCCAGTCCTTAGCAGGTGCCCAATAAATGTTTCATAAAATACAAAAAAAAAAAAGGCTGAACTGGATTATCTCTGGGGTGCCTTCCAACTCTGAAATGGAAAGACAGGAGACACTTTTGCTCTCAAGCAAGGATAAGGCTTGATTGAGTCATAGACAAGGTGTAGAGTCTAAAAGATGTGCTATAGAATCCAAAGCCTTCAAAAGAAAAGCTTAAGGGCTCCACACCTATAGCATAGTGGTTAAGGTGCCAGCCACATACACTGAGGTTTGAACCCGGGCCTGATAAACAACCATGACAACAGTAACAAAAAATAGCCAGGCATTGTGGCAGGCACCTATAGTCCCAACTATTTGAGAGGCTGAGGCAAGAGAATCACTTAAGTCCAAGAATTTGAGGGTGCTGTGAGCT